GTGTGTGCAGGGCGAAGCTCAAGCCCAGTCCTGTGCACAGCAGTCCCTGCAGCAGGGGAGACCCTGGCTGCTGAGCCCAGCTATGGGTTGATCCACCCTGCCAAGGCCAGGCCTGCACCCCACACCCTGCTCCAGGACCAAAATGGAGGGGGACACCTCAGTCAGGCCCCACCTGGTTCGCCCATTCCTGTGCCTTTGCAGAGTGTGGCCAAGCATAGCAGATGCCAGCAAGCACCAGAGCAAAGATTGGGAAGCCAGAGACACCACAGGTTGTGGTCAGTTACGGGATAAAACACCTCTGCACATCCACACGGGCATTCAGAGTGACCCAGCAGTAGGGAAGCCGAATAAAACCCAGCCAGGCCACTCCCAGGCCCATCACAGGGTCTCTCAGCCCCTCAGAGGCCCATCCACAAGCCCAGAGGAGCACACAGGCACAATAGCAGGCAGGAACCTAACCCAAGGATCCAGCCCCCTTCTCCAGGGCCTTTCCCAGGGCTGTCCCCAGAGTCTCAGCCCATGTCCCACCCCCATGAGTGACCCAGCGCAGCTCTGCAGATCATCTTCCAGAATAAGGGGCTGATGCCTGTGGGTGGGACACATTATGGGATGCAGGAAAAACTGCTTGGCTTGCACAGGACTTGTTATGGGATGTTTAGTGGAGGACCCTAAGGCAGAGGTGTAAGTGATTTTGGGAGGAAGAAGCGTGGAAAAATCGTGAGGTATGGGGACAAAAGGATCAGTTGGGTACAAATGACCAGCTGGTTGGCGCACTTGTCCAGCACCTGATCAGCACAGTCTGAGCTTATTAAATTCATCTTAAACTCTGTCCTGGGTGAGGGCTCCCTATTGAGTGTGCGTGCGTGTGTGTGTGCGCAAGGTGCGAGTGCACCGGGGGATCAGCCCGTGGGTCCCCACGTCCATGACTACAGCCAGTGCAGGTGTGTGACCAGCAGTAAAGATGAAGCCAGCCCAGCTGGTGAGCAGGTGATGTGGCCTGGGGGGGAAGGTGGGTGGCAATGGGCCAGCCCAGAATGTGACAGCACCCATGTGCCCGCAGGGCAAGAGCATGGCGGAGGGGGGGGTCGGCAATGAGACCTGGAAGCTCCTGGCCAGTTCCAAGATCCCAACGAGCTGCTGGCAGGAGGACACTTCCCTGAAAGCTCCATTTCAGAAAAGCCCTGAAGCCAGGAGTACGGGAAGGCAGCAGCCAGGCTGGTGCACTGTGAGTGCAAAGCACAGGGTGGCACTGGCCCTCCATGAGCTTGCTGCTGCACTGGGGCTCTGCCAGGCCCATGTGTACAAGGAGGGAACCAGGGCCTGTCACCACTGACACAGAATAAATGACCACCCACTGTGGACCTTGAGGTGCCTGTAACTGCTGGCCCTGCCCGGCCCTGCCAGTCTCCCTCTTCCCCCACCGCAGTTCCACCAGCCCCGCCCCAGCAGAACAATGCAGCAAGCCTTCCCCCGCGTCCAGCGCTGAGCAGCACACAGGGTCTTTCTGGAGGGCGAGGGCTACGGCTGCTTTAATGTGAAGCAGGATTCCCTGAAGGGCCCTCATCCCAAATCCCACCATCGCGTCCATCAAATCCCCGCAGGGAGAGCAGCTGCTGAGATGCCAACACAGTAGGCAGAGGAAACGAGCTCAGGCTTCGCAGCAGTTTTATTGAAACTGCCACAGGACAGAGCTGGTGCAGCTGGGCAGCAGTGAGCAGCGTGCAGGCAGAACTGCCCAAAACCACCCAGAGGGTGTCGCAGGAGGCCCAGGGGTAACTGCACAGCTACTGCGCCCTTCGGGCCATCAGCATTTCCCGGATGTTATCTTCTGCTTCCTTCACGCTCCGCTCCAGGTACGACTTCTTCTGCTGCAAGACAGAAAACCCAGAGGAGAGTTAAGGTCCACCTTGGTAGTGACAGCACATGCCACGGTGCTGGGGCCGAGAGCTGCCTGGGGCAGAGCTGCAAAGCAGCTTGCTGAGGGCACACACGACCCTATGGGTTTCCCAAAGTGAGGACTGCGGTTAGTCATTTCCAGAGGCATCCTGGAAGTGTTAATATTTAGCCCGGGCAGTATTTACACAGACTTTGAATTTTCTTCCCTCTGAAACCTTCTCCTCAGAGCTGCTGGGACTGTTGCAACAGCAGAGCTGCAAAAAGTGGGATACATTAACCACAGCAAGGAAGGAAAAGGAAATCAGATCCTGTAGTGCTTGGAGCCTAGAGAAGAATTAACATGCTGAGGACTCCTTATGGAGGCAACAGCAAAATCCTTTTGCACTTGGGTAAAAGAGGCTCTCTTCCCCAGCTGGGCCAGACTCTCCTTTCTATCAGAAATTCCCTGGCATCATCACTAAATACATGTGTTTCCTTAATCGTCTTTAATTAGGCTAGGCTTGGCAGGGAAGCAGCCCAAAGCTGTGCATCCCAAGATAGGAATTCAGCATGCAGCATTTTTTCCTGCTAGTCTGGGTGCTCCTAGGTGACTGGAAAAATCGGCACTTGGCTCTTTTGACTATTTTCTCAGGGTTTCCAAACAACAGACACCACAGTCTCCAGCAGACACCAGAAGGCATTGCCACGTGCAGGCAGCCCTCGCCGCTGGATGCAGACCTCCTCTGGCAGCAGCAGGGAGAGCACTGCTCCAACTGCATTTCGTTATGGGCTGGGGGGACCCTCGGGGAGGCTCCCCAGCGCTGGGCTTGCAGAGGACCATAGGGAGAGCCCTCAGGGGCAGAGCAGGGCTCCATACGTCATCCTTGCTGCACGCTGGTGCGGGGCATGCTGTCCTCACAAGGTCCTCTTCTCAGCAAAGCCTCCTGGGGACTGCTGCACCACAACGCTCCCACTACCCCACCATGGTTACAGCCACACATTGAGCACCTTCCTGCAGGCCTGGGGACCATGGAAGAGCTTTGTCTCCAGGCCAAGCTAGGTGCCAATAAGCACTGGCAGGATTATTATTCAATTACAGGAGTTCAGGGCTCAGCCTAGAGCATCCTGCCGTAGGCTCCACTAATTGCCTCTCCAGCCACAGGCAGAGGAACCCAGTATGAATGGCCTCCAAAGCCCACCAAAACTAGCCCCCCCCCAGCTAAAGGGAGATAGTGGGCATCCTCAGGACTGCTCAGCCATGCAGGGGGGCTGGAGGGAAGAGTAAAAACACATGATGCCCTGGGGTACTCACCCAGCTGCCAGCAGCAGAGCAGCACCCATGGGTGCAAGCTACAGCAAAAGCATGTGCTGGCCTCCACCGAGCAGCACCCTCCTGGTACAAGGGGCAGACCGGGGGAGCTTGTGCATGACCCAGAGGACATGGCCACTGCCAGCTGGTGACAGGCAAGAACTGCAAAGCTGATGCCCCCCTGACAGTCTCCCCCTGACTCCTGCAAGCCCACAGAGAGCTGGGACCCGTAACACTGAAGGAAAATGCATTTAGCAGATGTGACAGTCCTGCTGCCATCACTCCCCATCCATCCCCTCGCAGCAGACCTGCGGTGACACTTCTGTACGCTCAGCTGAAATGCCCATGCCATGAGGACATCTCTTCCAGCCCTGTTTCTAAATACTGAAAGGCTTTTATTTAAACAGTAAAGGTTGTTAGCAACAGCTAAGGCCGTGGGTAGGGCAAAGGGCTCCTTGTCCCTCTCACGCGGTCCCCAGGCATGTGGGATCCCTCTTGCTTACAAGAGCTGCTTTTCAGGAAACCGCTGAGAGAGGAGGCGCAGCGCGGGTTCCCGCTACCAACGACTCGCTGACGCACAAGCAGGCCTTCTGCCACCGCTGTGCCATTCTCACGCTGCCCAGACAGACGTCGAGGGATTTCACATCTAGGGAACTGACTCTGAAGGCTGCGAGGGGGAACAGGTCCCGGAAAAACCTGCGTGGGTCTGAGCTCCACCTCGCTCTGCTAACTGGAGGAGAGTGGCAGCAGCGGAGCCGACTTCTATGCATTCATTTATTACTATGACAATTTTTTCATTTTTTTTAATGCAGTTAAATTAGTCTATGAAACAGTTCTGGTTTTCTGTCCTCTCCACTCCCCCTCGTTCCCACCAGGCAGCAAGAGACATTTCCAGAGAGCAGCTCTCTGCGGGCAGGCTGGCCCCAGCCAGGGACCTTGGGAGAGCCAGGCAGCCCTGCTGCCCCACAAGGAAGCCCCCACGTGTGGGCAGAGCTGGCAGGTTGCAAATGACGGCTCCATTCTCCTGACACAGCAGGATTTCAAACATCCCTCGTTAGGGAGCCATGCTGGTGACCACATGGGCCCCACTTCCTCGAGGACTAATGTGGCCTGACGCAGCGCAGGAGCGTTCATGGCCGTCATGGCCCACACAGGTCCACGCTGCCCACTCCTACACAGTGGCATACCTCTGCTCTCCCCTGGGAAGCAAGGGTGCTGGAGCTGCACAGCTCATGGCAAAGGGACATGATTTAATGCCATTTCTTTACTTTAAGCACCACCTGCAGACTTAGGCAGGTGAGGATCCAAGGAATTTGTATTTCCTCAATCATTCTCCCCAATGATGTAGTTTCTGAGGCAAGAGGATCTAGGGCGGTCCTGATGCTTTTACTACATCCTCCCAAAAGTACCCTCCAGGGAGACTCATGCCTGGGCTCAAGAAACATCCTCCGACACCAAGGGAAGCCCTGCACCTGCAGCTGGGGGGCTGCAAACCTCCTCAGCTGTCCTGCAGGCTGGCAGCAGGCAGTGCTGGAGCCAGCACAGCAGCTGGCTCCCACTCCAACTCCCCGAATCAAGGAGGAACAAGGAGCAGACGCTCACCATATTTTTAGAGACACGTAGCAGAAGTGAGCTGTTACTTCCTGAGGAGCCGTGGCCTAGCTTCTGCTTTGGTAATCACAGGAGGAAGAGCAGGAGTTTGCGTGCAAACCCCTCCTCACCGCGATTACTGGGGTCTAGACAGGAAACGCTGTCTCTCCCTAGTGCGCCTTCCCAGGGAGCAGTGCTGTGAGCAAGCCAGCTGACACACGCACTGCCCAGTCACACCAGCTCTCCCAGAGACGTCAGACAGCACAGCTCTTAAGTCACACTGGAGGCTGTTCCGGTCCACCCAGATCTGCCAGGCTGGTGGTATCTGCTCCCCATGGGAGGAGCACTACTGCCGCCTCCCAAACCCCACCTCCAACCTTTCCAGAACTCACATGCTTTCAGTTGCACTTGATGTTGACTTGCAGCTCTACTTAACCCTATGTCCTCTGACCCCACGTTTTTGGCCTGCCTGTGGCTGCTAGGTTTTAGCTCATCACCCAATTAGCTGCATATATTTTCCTGTGAAGGTGTGTTTGCCACCCAAAGCATTAATTCTCTGTTGCCCGTGCCAAGTGCAGCTAGCAACAAATTTCCAGCGCAATGCCAGAACTGTACTGCTGGTTTTGGCGTCTCATGAAATCAAAGGCTGCTGCTCTCTGCAGCCTCTGGTATTACTTCTACACCAGAAACTCAAATGCTCACCAGTCAGGAGCCCAAAGGGACAAGGCAGCACACTGTCCCTGCACAGCAAGCCACTGACTTCAGAGGCTGCACAGCTTATGAGCTGCAGATTCAGAGCTCCGAGGTGCCCCCCACACCAGCACTGCCCTAAACCGCTCCCACCCACCCACCAGCTCCTACAGGCCTCTGGCCAGACAAGGTGGTTACCCAAAACAGCAAGAGATACCACTGCCTGAGTCACAGAGTCTCAGGGTAGGACTGAGAAAGGAGACTTGCTTTGGCAAAGCAACGGGGTAAAGGTAACACGTGCCACTCAGCTCCCAGAAAAGCCCAAACTCACAGCTTATAAACAGGGCCACGCTCAGCAGCGAGGCCGGGCAGTGCCACGACGTGCTGGTGTCTCCCCAGCAGTTACACAAAAAGCGGGGCAAGGTAAGCAAGGAGGAAATACGGACTGCACAGCAGGAAGAGGCTGCTTTTGCAGCCGATGGGTCCTGCTGCAGTGAGGGGCCAGTTCCTCCTCCTAGTTTGTGTTTGCCACATCCACTCACTAGAGATTTATTTACCACACTGCAAAATACACTTCTTGAGTGTTAGTGAAATTTATTTAAGAGGCACAGCTTCTGAATGCCTGCTCAGCCAGGGCAGCGAGCGCACTGGCCTCTGCCACCTGTGTGGCTTTTGGAGGTTTCAGAACCACTTTGTTTCCACAACTAATGCACATGAACTCCCATGCAGGGAGGAATGACCTGAGGTTGCAGGTCCCATCACTGTGTAAGAAGCCTCTCCACCACAGAAGCAAGGAAGGGGAGCTGCAGGCCACCTTGAAGGTGGCTGAAGGCATGTAGGAAGGTAGCAGGATTTGCATCTACAGATTTCCAGGTGGGCAGCATGCTTCTCACACACTCTGAAATCAAGCCAGCTGCCCTGCTCCAGCACAGGACCAGCTCTTGGACCCTTACTTCTTCCCACCACATGCCACCCACCAGTTCTCATCTAACCCCTTATTTGTGGTGACAGCCCCTTGATCGTCCCCTGCCCCACTCTGTCCCACGCAGGAAGGGCACGAGACCAACACACAGCTACTGTGACAGGCTAGCGAGGTCTGGGCCACATGCAGAAGAGCTGATGGGGAACAAAACTGCAGAAGACACCCCCAAAAAGCCAGTGCAGTCAATGCCTCCCAGCTTGTAGTTTCAGAATTCCTTTAAGCCAATCCTGCTACCAACAGCAGTCACCTTCCCTAGCCAGGAAGGGCTGGAGCACTTGGGAGCAAGAAAAATCACGGTCCTGGCAATCTGTCTGAAAACTAGCTCAAAAGGAAACGTTCTCATCTAAATCTGCTTTCTGTGAGTAGGTTTTCCATGCTAATGGCTGCCTGGCACTGAGATGGAAGGCGAGAGGAGATGGCCA